TCACGAAACACTGATCATGTGTATGCGGAAAATCCACAGAGAAATGGAAAAGAGAGATGAACGTTTCGGCCGATCTGGGCCTTTGTCAACACCGGACTGATACCCTATTTATACCCACCAATAGGCCCACACATGGATAATAATAGCATAAGATAGTAAATATTTACAATGAATTAGTGAGACAAATGTGTATCAATGATCCTACTCAAATCGCCCTTTAATTGATCTATCAAAAATGGATCTAAGTTATATAAACCACTGCTAATGTTCAAATTACATTCTTTTGTAATCTGTATTAAAGCAGATTCAATTATGTTCCTGTTATAAGTGCTTTTACAATTCGTTATTGAAGAAGCCATCTCCCAATCAATTTGGTGAGCATTTTCTGACAAATGAACAAACAAAGCATTAGATAATTGGCCATGTCTTACAGAGTATGTTGCGAAATTCTACATTTCAAATCTTTAGATGTTTGCCCAACATAGAACTTATTACAGTCTTTACAAGGTATTATATAAATGACGCAATTATCAGTACGAGGGCTGTTTCTAACTAATAGTTTACCAACAGTATTTTCGTAGCTAAACAATACATGTATATCAAAAAGTTTCAAGGCCTTGACAATATTCGCAAACCCAGAGAAATATGGTAAACATAACACATTCTTTGAGCGAATTTTTTCACTGCATATATTATTATAATATGTACGACGTGCTTTACTACGGCAAACTTCCAAAAAACTCAATGGTTTCCAATTTGAAACCAATAATATTCTTAAACTCTTCATCTAAGAATTCTGAACTCACAACCCGAAGAGCTCTTAGATACATTGAAGAAAAATGGATTTTTTCACATTGTATCTATGCCCTGAGAAATAATGAACATAAGATAAATTATTCGTAGGTTTTCTGTAGACACTAAACTTTAGTGACAAATCTTCCCTGTGAATAAGTACATCTAGGAATGGCAAACATTTATCAATTTCAGTCTCCATAGTAAATTTTATAGAGGTGACTTGATCATTAAGTTTGGCTACAAATTCGTCTGTGTTTACATCTGAAGGCCATATACACAAAATATCATCAACATATCTAAACCATGGAATGATTCCAGGAGTTATTTTTTAAACAAATTTCTTTTCGAAGAATTCCATGTACAAGTTTGAAAGCAATGGCGATAAAGGATTCCCCATTGCCATTCCAAAAGTCTGTAAATAATACTCATTATTAAAGGTAAATTTACATTCTTTAATGCACAACTTAGCAAGATTGACAACAATATCAGCAGAAAGAGGTAAAACATGGCCCATTAGTTCACGAGCAAGATAATCAAGAATATCATCAACGGGCACCTTTGTAAACAAGGAACACACGTCAAAACTGATTAACTTTACATCAAGAGTGACAGGAACACTATTCAATTTGTTAACTACTTCAAGAGAATTGGTCAAATGGGAAGAGGGAACAGTTCCTAACAATGGAGACAAGATTTTGGTAAGCCATTTGGAAAGCTTGTAAGAAATGGATCCCACCGAACTGATGATAGGCCTCATGGGATTGTTAGGTTTATGCGTCTTGACAAGTCGAATGCAATAGCAGCTTGAGGAAGTTGTTAAGTAAACATAAAGATCTTCTTAATAATTTTACTATCTCATCACCTTCATTACCATATCTCTATGGACTTGTCAAGACCCCCCGCCCCGCCCCGCCTCAAGTAGGACACCCCCTGCCGCGCCCCGCCCCGCACTGCCCCTAGATGGACACCACCCCCAGCCCCGCCCCGCCCCGCCCCGCTCCGCCCCGCTCCGCCCCCGCCTGGCCCGGCCCCGCCCCGCCCCGCCTCGCCCCTGCCTGGCCCCGCCCTGCCCCGCCCCAAGGACAAATGGTCCCGCCAGGAATCTCACGTCTACAAGTCAGGTAAAATGTATATTTACCAGGTTGTCCTGCCAGGCCCAAGTTGGAGGGGTCGGTGTTCTTAACTTGGAGGTGGTGGGTAACTTGAGCAAGTTTACGACCCCACCTGGAGGTGTCTCCAGGCGACCCTTCACACTCATCTCTACCGCCTGCTGGAAAGGTCACCAGCCGGCCCTCACTATCCACCATGGTGTGTACAGGTGGAGCGACAGGTGGAGGAACAGGTGGAGGGACAGGTGGTGTACAGGTAATGGAGGGGGGGGACCACTAGGCAACTGTCAACTACCGTCTTCTTGTTGACCTCAACAGTCACGGTGCCTATAGTCTTAGGGACCTCAGTACGAACTAAAGAGACAACTTAGTCTTGGTGTCTTGGCCACACATCAGCACCTCTTAAGACTTCAGCTACCTGATGTCAGAAGCACCTCAGCGCTCTCGGTCACCACTAGGGAGACTTGTGGTGATTAGTGTCATTATAACAACAATTTGGCACCGTCTTAGTGGCTATATCGGAGCTTCCTCTTACAGTGACGTCTGGCCGTGAAATAGCCGGATTGTCTCCCCAGAAGCTGCCAGAAATTCCATTGTCAAGTATTTGGTATGAAGGGAGAACCGCCTGCTGGTCGGCAGGGCCTGCTGTAAGCCTGCTGGTCGGCAGGGCCTGCTGTAAGTTTGTTGGTCGGTGGGGCCTGCTGGTCGGCGGGGCCTGCTGTAAGCCTGCTGGTCGGTGGTGCCTGCTGTAAGCCTGCTGGTCGGTGGTGCCTGCTGTAAGCCTGCTGGTCGGCGAGGCCTGCTGTAAGCCTGCTGGTCGGTGGTGCCTGCTGTAAGCCTGCTGGTCGGTGGTGCCTGCTGTAAGCCTGCTGGTCGGTGGTGCCTGCTGTAAGCCTGCTGGTCGGTGGTGCCTGCTGTAAGCCTGCTGGTCGGCGTGGCCTGCTGTAAGCCTGCTGGTCGGTGGTGCCTGCTGTAAGCCTGCTGGTCGGTGGTGCCTGCTGTAAGCCTGCTGGTCGGTGGTACCTGCTGTAAGCCTGCTGGTCGGTGGTGCCTGCTGTAAGCCTGCTGGTCGGTGGTGCCTGCTGTAAGCCTGCTGGTCGGCGGGGCCTGCTGTAAGCCTGCTGGTCGGCGGGGCCTGCTGTAAGTTTGTTGGTCGGTGGGGCCTGCTGTAAGCCTGCTGGTCGGTGGTGCCTGCTGTAAGCCTGCTGGTCGGCGGGGCCTGCTGTAAGTTTGTTGGTCGGCGGGGCCTGCTGTAAGCCTGCTGGTCGGCGGGGCCTGCTGGTCGGCGGGGCCTGCTGGTCGGTGGGGCCTGCTGTAAGCCTGCTGGTCGGCGGGGCCTGCTGTAAGCCTGCTGGTCGGTGGTGCCTGCTGTAAGCCTGCTGGTCGGCGGGGCCTGCTGTAAGCCTGCTGGTCGGCGGGGCCTGCTGTAAGCCTGCTGGTCGGTGGTGCCTGCTGTAAGCCTGCTGGTCGGCGGGGCCTGCTGTAAGCCTGCTGGTCGGCGGGGCCTGCTGTAAGCCAGCTGGTCTCTCTCCAGGTAGCGCGGGTGTTTGATACTGATGGTACAAGTAGCCAGGTGTTGGTCCAATACTTCGCCCCCACATGCTATCCTCTCCCCATATGATATCATGTGCTATATAGTCTGTGACGTGATCTGGAATAGAGCAGTACTATCCTGGCAGGTGTTGCATCAATCTCACATTAATACAAAAAGAGAAAATAAATTAAAATAAAACTACTGGGTCCTTTTACCGTGTGCCAATTGCGGGCAAAAAACCATCATTGATGAGACTGTTGGGCAAAGTGGAGAGCCGTGCAAGAAGGCTGATCTCTAGTCTTGACCAAGTCTGGTGGGAATGGTCTGAACATTAGAACCTGCATCATCAACGTGGCGTTGGTGAACTTATTGTTAAGTCCAAGACCAACATTCTCAAAGTTCCTCACCTGGCCGAACCTTGTGAACAACCAGTAGTTGGCGCCCACGGCACTAGACTCTCAACCTTCAACAGTCTCATGCTGGAAGTGCTATTCTCAAGAGCACCACTCCATCAGCGATCATTCACTCCCAGGCTGACTCGCATCTGCAACTTGTTCGCTCAACAGGTTGATACACGGGAGATCAGGTCAAGTGATCACGTGAAGGCTCTGGCACACAGTTGACTACAGGCTCATCCTGTCTCCTTTATGATTGTTACTTAGAGTTAAATAAAATTTATTCCTAATGATGCATTTAATAGGCTCATGAAATACATGGGTCTCTACGAGCAGGTTTCGACTGAATTGAGGTAGGATTACAACTCTTGCTTGTAGTTTCATCAGGTACCTGTTCCTTATATCATAGTCAATTTGCTTCAAATGACATTCTCATGTAATAAGTGAGTTTCAGGAGCAGGCTTCAGATGAGCTGAAGAAGGATAACAGCGTTTGCTTGGGCCCAGGTCCCAGCCCTTACACACACCACGGTGGTGGAGGCCCAGCCCTTACACACACCACGGTGGTGGAGGTCCAGCCCTTACACACACCACGGTGGTGGAGGTCCAGCCCTTACACACACCATGGTGGTGGAGGCCCAGCCCTTACACACACCATGGTGGTGGAGGCCCAGCCCTTACACACACCACGGTGGTGGAGGTCCCAGCCCTTACACACACCATGGTGGTGGAGGCCCAGCCCTTACACACACACCATGGCGGTGGAGGTCCCAGCCCTTACACACACCATGGTGGTGGAGGTTCAGCCCTTACACACACCATGATGGTGGAGGTCCCAGCCCTTACACACACACCACGGTGGTGGAGGTCCAGCCCTTACACACACCACGGTGGTGGAGGTCCAGCCCTTACACACACCACGGTGGTGGAGGCCCAGCCCTTACACACACACCATGGTGGTGGAGGTCCCAGCCCTTACACACACCATGGTGGTGGAGGCCCAGCCCTTACACACACCACGGTGGTGGAGATCCAGCCCTTACACACACCATGGTGGTGGAGGCCCAGCCCTTACACACACCACGGTGGTGGAGGTCCAGCCCTTACACACACCACAGTGGTGGAGGCCCAGCCCTTACACACACCACGGTGGTGGAGGTCCAGCCCTTACACACACCACAGTGGTGGAGGCCAAGCCCTTACACATACCACGGTGGTGGAGGTCCAGCCCTTACACACACCACGGTGGTGGAGGTCCAGCCCTTACACACACCATGGTGGTGGAGGCCCAGCCCTTACACACACCACGGTGGTGGAGGTCCAGCCCTTACACACACCACAGTGGTGGAGGCCCAGCCCTTACACACACCACGGTGGTGGAGGTCCAGCCCTTACACACACCACAGTGGTGGAGGCCAAGCCCTTACACATACCACGGTGGTGGAGGTCCAGCCCTTACACACACCACAGTGGTGGAGGCCAAGCCCTTACACATACCACGGTGGTGGAGGTCCAGCCCTTACACACACCACAGTGGTGGAGGTCCAGCCCTTACACACACCACAGTGGTGGAGGTCCAGCCCTTACACACACCACAGTGGTGGAGGTCCAGCCCTTACACACACCACAGTGGTGGAGGTCCAGCCCTTACACACACCACGGTGGTGGAGGTCCAGCCCTTACACACACCACAGTGGTGGAGGCCCAGCCCTTACACATACCACGGTGGTGGAGGTCCAGCCCTTACACACACCACGGTGGTGGAGGCCCAGCCCTTACACACACCACGGTGGTGGAGGTCCAGCCCTTACACACACCACGGTGGTGGAGGTCCAGCCCTTACACACACCACGGTGGTGGAGGCCCAGCCCTTACACACACCACAGTGGTGGAGGTCCAGCCCTTACACACACCATAGTGGTGGAGGCCCAGCCCTTACACACACCACGGTGGTGGAGGCCCAGCCCTTACACACACCACAGTGGTGGAGGCCCAGCCCTTACACACACCACGGTGGTGGAGGCCCAGCCCTTACACACACCACAGTGGTGGAGGCCCAGCCCTTACATACACCACAGTGGTGGAGGCCCAGCCCTTACACACACCACAGTGGTGGAGGCCCAGCCCTTACACACACCACAGTGGTGGAGGCCCAGCCCTTACATACACCACAGTGGTGGAGGCCCAGCCCTTACACACACCACAGTGGTGGAGGCCCAGCCCTTACACACACCACGGTGGTGGAGGCCCAGCCCTTACACACACCACAGTGGTGGAGGCCCAGCCCTTACATACACCACAGTGGTGGAGGCCCAGCCCTTACATACACCACAGTGGTGGAGGCCCAGCCCTTACACACACCACAGTGGTGGAGGCCCAGCCCTTACACACACCACAGTGGTGGAGGCCCAGCCCTTACATACACCACATTGGTGGAGGCCCAGCCCTTACATACACCACAGTGGTGGAGGCCCAGCCCTTACACACACCACAGTGGTGGAGGCCCAGCCCTTACACACACCACAGTGGTGGAGGCCCAGCCCTTACACACACCACAGTGGTGGAGGCCCAGCCCTTACACACACCACAGTGGTGGAGGCCCAGCCCTTACACACACCACAGTGGTGGAGGCCCAGCCCTTACACACACCACAGTGGTGGAGGCCCAGCCCTTACACACACCACAGTGGTGGAGGCCCAGCCCTTACATACACCACAGTGGTGGAGGCCCAGCCCTTACACACACCACAGTGGTGGAGGCCCAGCCCTTACACACACCACAGTGGTGGAGGCCCAGCCCTTACATACACCACAGTGGTGGAGGCCCAGCCCTTACACACACCACGGTGGTGGAGGTTGTTATGATCTCAGCCTACAGGAGAAACGAGTCTCCCTCCTTGAGAGTTATTCGTCAAGCCTGACCTGATTAGAAGGTCTAGCAAGTATTGAGGTGATAACGCATATGTAAAATGGCTGGTTGGATATGTAAAACAATTTAAGATTATGGGCAGTAAGTAAGGAAATAGATAAATGACTGGCTAGGAGATGTGGACATTTTGCTGGAGGCGTGAGGCTCGCTTCCGGAGGACCTTGACCTCACTTGAATGCCAGACATCGCAGGGGAAAGCTGCGCTCCGTGAGCTCCCGCCAGAAGGGAACCCCTAGTGATATATCTCGAAGAGAAGAGAAGTGTGTAGACGTGCCAGCTGTGGAACCGAGCTGGGAACGTTGTGGTCTCAAGTCCTGGTCGAAGAAGAGAGTATCAAGCCGGCCAGAGACATTATTGTGGGCCGTGGGAGCGCCCTGACCAGACGCCGTCAGAGGGAAAGCGCCCTCGACCAGCCGATCTGTGGTAAGCACGATATACGCCAGTTCATAGTGATCACTTGTAGTTGGTCGTGTGCCCAGCGACAGTAGCAATGTTTATTTATAGGTTAGACATGTTTTAATAAGGCAGAAGGCCTGAAATAGGAGAGTGAAGAGGGAGGAGCACGGAGCGACGTCCATCCCCTCTGAGCTCTGACGGACGACTGAGGGAGCCTGGCTCCTGATGGAGGAAGACCCTCCCAGCGAGTGAGGACCGCCGCCAGGCGAGGTGGAGTATGGACCCGCCCAAAACGGGGGAGTCCACTCTCACTGTATGTAGAGGACAGATAGAGGTTTGAGGCAAGCATATTGTGTGGTTATTTTTGTTTATGTGTTAAAGGGGAACATTTTATTGGAACGTCGATGGGTTGCAGGTTTGTCTTTGGGGAAGAAGTTGCTGAGAACTTCGAAGCCAGCAGATGAAGTAGCTGATGAGACTCCAAGGTAGTGGAGCAGAGGACCTCGAGCTGTGAGGAGAAGCAGCAGTGAAGAGGAGTGTCACTTGCTTCTGTAGAGGTGGAGAAGCACCATAGTTGCTCGGGGAAACTTCATGGTGTAGCAGCCAAGAGAGCTGTGGAAGAACCTAGCAGAAGGGTGAAGCACCGTAGTTGCTCAAGGAAACTTCATGATAGCAGCCTGGAGGAGCTGCAGAGGATCCTGGTAGTGAAGCCCGGAAGAACCTAAGGATATTAGGGTAGTGAACTTCCAGAGGTGGAAGGGGAAGTTCTGGTGGATTACTTATAGGGAGTTGATAGTGTTTGGTTGTCAGTAGCGTGCAAGACGCAGTGAGAGGTGAGTGACTGTTGGCATTCTTATGTCAAGGAGTTTTTTATACTGAAGTATCAATGAACATTTATACTGGTATATGTTATTGCATTCAAATGCTGATTTTCTATATATATATGTTATCTTGCTGATGGCGCAACAGTGTACGTAGGCTTGACCAACTTGAGGAGGTTAATGATATCAGGTGGTGAACCAGGAGGTAGGATACCACTTGATAGGCTGATAATAGAGTTCTGATGGTGTTGGAGTGCAACCTGATTGTGATATTATAGAGTATAGGATTCATTATTATTATATGTGTGTATGTATCGTGTATGTGCTTTGTTCAGTAAATGTGTCACAATTTGCTGGTGTTTGCCCTTGTCCTAGTGAGGCTTCCCAGGAAGTAGTGAAGAAGGAGAGAGAGAGAGAAAGAACCAAGAACCACTGCTGTGGACAGGGTAAAAGGTAATACTAATAAGTCAAAAGGGGATTGAGGAGATCATATCACCTAAGGAGAGAGTGGGGAGTCACAGCGGCTCG